CTTAATGACTTTTTGCTCTCTTCATGTATGATATTCTTGATGTCATCCCACAACTCTTCCGGTCTTTGGTCTTTAGTGTCTAATTCATCAAATTTAATACCATCTAATCAATTCCAATTCACAGGGACCTCACACGACACAGTAAAACTGCCCCATAGGATTTCCTAGGCTGTCATCTTGTATGGGGGCAGATCACTAGGTGTTTCTTCCAAGGAGACACTGGCTGAGTTTGAATCGCTGACCTTTGGGTTCACAGCCGAACACTTTAACCATCGTGCCACCAGGACACCATAAAGATTGTTGTTACCTGCCTTCGAGTTGATTCTGACTCATAGCTCCCTATCTAGGGGTTCCAAAGCTGTGCGCCTTTGTGGAAAGAGAAAGCTCCGTTCTTTCTTCCAAGGAGCAGCTGGTGAGTTTGAACTGCTGACCTGTGCTTAGCAGTCAGTGCTGACCCTACTTCACCACACTCAGACGCAACCATAAATACCATTGTTGTTAAGTGCCGTCGAGTCAGTTCCAAGTCATAGCGACCCTACATAGGGTTTCTAAGAATGGGTGGTGAGTTTGAACCATCAAGCTTGTGGTTCAAACTGACCTTGCAGTCCAGTACTTACCCTAGAGCGCCACAGCAAGATTATAACCCAGAAACCCTATTAGGTAGTTATAGTCTGTCACGTGGTTATAATGAGTTCTTGTCCACTTGATGACACCCAGCAACAAGTCAAGTGACTTAGCAGTTAGAACTGCAGGAGGTTAAGGCGGTCTCTACCAAAGTGTTTTAAACATGGCTTATCCTAAGGATCACCCAGAGTAGGGTTTAAAATATCGATTCTTGGGTTCTCCGCTAAACCTACAGTAGCAGGAGTATCAAGGATGGGAGTGGAAATCTGCATTGTGACAGAAATTACCAAGGATTCTTAGGGACTATGCATGATCCAAGAGATAGAGCCAGAGGGCTAGGGCGAACAGCTTCTTGGAGGAATTCCATGAACATTTCTTACAGTACAAAATGGCTTCTTCCTCCCTCTCCTATCCTTCCCCACTACTAAGGCCTCGAACTCATGATTCTCCCTCAAATCTCCTCCTAGGAGTCCTGGTGGTACAACAGTGAAGCTCTCAGCTGCTAACCGAAAGATTCACATTTGAGCCTATCTGCGGAAGAAAGACCTGGCCATTTTTTCCTATAAAGATGACAGTCCAGGAAACCTTATGGGGCACACAGTGTCGACTCTCATTTAGGAGTGCTCTGAGTCAGAATTGATTCCATGGCACCCACCAACAGTCTTCTCCTACTCCACTTCCCTAAATAAGTAACCCTTCATGCCACCACCAGAGGGATCTTTCTAGAACAAATTGGATGTCAGTCTTCTGATGATCAAAATTCATTCCGATGCTTGGGAGACACTGAACTTCGGCTAAGGGTGATGGAAAACTCTGGCTGCACATGTGAGGAAAGCAATTAAGTATAAGTAAAAAATATAGAAATAAAATTTTTGTTACATACATGTTCACCACAATAAAAAATTAATCTGAAAAAAAAAATTAAAAAGGACAAAAGCAAACACAAGTCTATCCTGAGTCCTTGCCATGACCCTTATGGATGAAATTCAAAGCATTATTGTGATGTACATACAAGGAAGGATCCACCCTACCCAGTCCTGCTTGTCTTCTTGGTTCTCCTGCCCCTTTACCCCACCTTTGAACTAGCCTGAATCTGGTATTTATAAGATGCACTTTTGTGTCTGCCCCTTTTTGCTCCCTGCTGGCTTCCTTCCCCTTTACCCAGGGCACCTGCCAGGTGCATGAATTCTAGGTGATGCTCAGGTACCATACATGAAGTCCCTCCACTGCCCAATTGCCATCCAGTTGATTTTGACTCAGGACGGTGACCACTTGTGTCTCAGAGTAGAAAGAACTGTACTCCTTAGGCTTCTCAGTGGCTGATGTTTGGGAAGTAGATTCCCAGGTCTTTCTTCCAGGGCATCTGAGTGACATAGAGGCTCCAGCTTTTCAGTTAGCAGTCAAGTGTGTTGACCATGACCACCAGGATTACCATGCTGTACGCCAAACCAAAAACCAAACTGAGTCCATTCCGACACATACTGACCTTTACAGGACAGGGCAGAACCGGCCCATAGGGTTTCCAAGGCTTTATGAAAGCAGGCAGTTTCACCTGTCTCAGGTGGATCAGCTATGGGTGTGGGTGCAAACTACTAAATGTGGTTAGTAGTCCAATGACTAGCCCACTGCACCACCAGGGCCCACTGACTTGCTTGTTTTTCCTAGAGCACATTATGAGCTTCCACTCACCAGACAGTGCCTGCTACCCCAGGCTGCAGGCACATCGCCTCGGCCAGTAAATGAAGGTGGCAGATTGTGGGGGCCGAGGAATACTTCTGGGGGCCAACCAGACCACGCCGCTCCACGATCAAATCCCCCTGCTGCTTAGGAGGTTCCAACCCACAGTGACCCTGTATAGGGTTTCCAAGGAGCCATTGGTGAGCTTGAACCACTGACGTGGCAGTTCAAATGGCTTTGTAGTCTGACGTATTAACCCACAGTGCTACACCAGGACTCCTATGCTTGGGAGGTAACTTTCTCTGTTAAGTAAATGTGTTCCTCCTGATATCACTTCTGTGAGAGCCCATTCTTGACATCACAGAGCTCTTACTATGGTGGACATAGGCTGCGTGTATTCAGTCTACAGGCCAGAGGTGGGCACAGAGAGAGGCACACTGATTTCCCTAAGTTACACAGCTAATCAGTCAGAGGTAGAGCTGAAAGTTCTGATTTAAAAAAAAAAAAAAAAGGTGTGTGTGTGGAGGGGTGGGTAGTAACAAGAAAAAAGGACACAGGGTGCTAATTTCACTAAGTTTATTTACAGCTCTTGGAGAGACATACAGAGCAGCACATGGTCTTCAAAGTTAAGTCTTTCTATACCGTATTCATGTTTACATTGTGGTGTATGTTTCTCTCCAAGGACAATGTTAAAATCAAGCCACGTGACTGTTCATACTGATTCCGCCTACTTCCTGTACTCCGTTTTTATTCCTTCTGCAAAGAGGCTTACTCTTGCTCTCACATGGCCTTAGGGGACCCCAAGAACACCAAAAGTGTCCTATATCTATAAGCATTTGCCATCAAACCTTAATGTCTGTTAGGTGCAACACATCAACCCAATCTTTACTACCAACTGACATAAGCAAATTTTAATTCCTTTGCACAATGTGGCTACTATCGTTTGTACCAAATGTACAACCACAGGGTAGGCAAAATGGCATTCAGAATGAGTGACCATGCGCCACCGTCCACTGATGGAGGCAAATCCCTTTGTGTTTAGCAGCCACAATCTGTGTAATCCTCAAGCATGCCAAGGTGTATCCCGACCTGGGAGTTTCTTCTGCTTTCTGAGTACAGTAAATTTCTAAGAACCTCCCCTGCCCCAGTGGCAAACCTTGATAAATATCAGGTCAAAGAGTTAGGCAAGGCCAACCACTTCTCAGATCACCCGGGGGAATAAGTCCAGAACATGGTCTTTGTGAAATCTACCAAGTTTGAGTCATTCAAGATAAAAATGTTAACTTTTTAACATTATAAAAAAAGTCTTTAAGAAGACTACTCTGGTGTGCCCTCCCACCCTTGCTAGATGCTCAAAAGACCACAGCACAACACTGAAATACACAGAAAGCAAGTTATAGGCTCCAGGTGGGATACTGTCTAGAGCAAGCCAAGAATCATTGCTTTCTGAGTCTTTTTAATTTCTTTTTTATGCAATTGCCTGCTTATTTAGTGGCACCGTTTTTGCAAACTAGAAGATCTTTCTACTTTTCATCTCACAAACAATTTGCAACCTTTTTTCCGAGTCTTACTTTTGCATCTTTTTTTTTTCTTTCAACCTTGTAATTGAATGTTACAATGTCTATCAAGAAGAATAAACCTCCGCTTGCCCCCCTCCCTAAACAAGAAAAGGTGAAGCTTTTAATTGCAGGCCCTCAAACTATCATTTTGTGCAATTAGCAATTAGCTATAATCGTTGACTAGAGAATGCTGAGCTGCTCGAACAATTTCCCTCCTGTCTCAGACTGTGTTATATTTAGCCTCTTTTTTCTATTACAGAGAACAAGCCACGACCGCATGCACACTCACACACACATTTAAAGGCACATTTAATTTTTAAAAAATTTTCTTAAGCAAAAAAAAAAAAAGGCATTGCAGAGTAGCCAGTAGCCCAAAACCCAATTCAGAACAGCCCAGACGTTTGACCCCTGCCTCTTCGCCACTCTCAGAGGGCAGAGGGGTGGTCCAAGGAAGCCGCTACCTACCAGCCTCTCCAGGAGAGGGGGGCGCAGGCGAGGGTGCAGCCCCAGGACACCGCAAGTCCCCTCCTGGCTGCCAGCACCACGAGGGGGGAGGAGGTGGCATCGCAGCGAGCGTTGCATCAGCGCTAACTGCTGCGGGACTGCTGGCGACAGCGGGGAGGGAGCTGGGCGGACTGTAGGGAGCGCACGGAGGCGGCGGCAGGTTCCCGGGATCAGGAAATTAGGGCAGGCTCTGGGGATTGGAGGCAAGGGCGGCGCGGGAGCCAACCAGCGGCCGCCCCGGACCCCCGTGAGCCCGCGGCGGCGCGGAACAGCCGAGCCCGGAGCTGTGCGGACGGCCACGGTCACGGCCGCTCGCGCGCGCACAGTCCCAGCGTCC